GTCGTCCGACGTGTGGGTCGACAGCACTCAACGGATCGTCCAATAGATATATGTCTGCCGAGGAATAGACAGCCCTCGCGAGTGAAACCCTCTGTTTCTGACCGCCGGACAAATTGATCCCTTTTTCCCCGATTTCTGTCATATCTTCGGCCGAAAGAACTGCTAAATCGGGTCTCAAAGCACACGAATCCAGAACTTTGTCATAAAATTCTTCATTGAATTCACTATTAAACAGAATATTCTGTCGAAGAGTTGTGTTTTGAATCCACGCCTGTTGTGGACAATAAGCCGTCCGTTCGCTCACATTCACAGAGCCCTCACTTCTCTCCATATCTCCCAATAGAGCCGATAATAGGGACGACTTGCCGGCGCCCACTCGACCCACAACTGCCACCAATGACTGACTTTCTATCTCTATATTGATATTTTTGAGCACAGAATCGTCGCAATTGTTATCCCATTTAAATGAACCGTTTTTGACGACAATAGGAGTCCTTTGATTGGGTTTGTGGTCAACGAAACTCTCATTCACTTCATTGGCGTTTAAATAAGCATTCATTCGCTTCACTGAGACTTTGCACTGAATTTAATCAAATAATATAACTAAAAATAAATTTATTTAAACAAGACTTAATGTATAGTTTCAATTGACTTACACTTATTAAAGAGCTGACCAGTTGTGGTATTGATGTTATCGATCCCTCTATTTAATTAACAAATTAGTAATTTTAATAGATTCATAATTAAATACACAATTACTCACTCATTATATTGAACAATAAAAGTGAAACAAACGCTTTATTCGGGTCCAGAATATTCCGGTCAGACATGTATAGGAATGCCGTAAAAGTGGATAAACTAACCTGTTGTATGGCATAACAAATTAAAACAATATATAAATACAGTATATTACTGTCAAACCAGATATGGGGCGGCAGAGAGAATGCCCCTCTGAATAGCGCCCAACACATTGACCGATGCCATTACCGCACACTCGCGAGCCCTGTGGCCGAACACCTGGGTTAAGAACGCTGGTTCCCAGCCGTATAGCTTCAACACCTTGATGTGATTGATAATCTCGGTAATGGCCGACACTCTCTTGTCCTTATACTCGAGTAACTTCGCCCACATCTGGTGCTCACGGGTCAGCATAAATGAATTAATGGCCACCACTACCACCAGGACAGCCACACCGGCCAGAGTGGCGGCGCCCAACTGAGCCCATAGTAAACACGTGGCGATTATCACTATTACGGGACTCAGCAATAGATTGTCCGCGAAATAAAAGAAACAGTAAATGTAAAACAAATCCGACGAAATCAAGTTAACGATATCGCCGGTGGCGTAGTCTTTACGGCCAGAGCTGGACAGCCGTAGGGACTGATAGGACGGAGATATGTGTGTAATAAATATTATACATGTTTATTTAATTATTAATTTTATATTACCTTCTCGTACAGCGCGGATGTGACACATGATTTGATTTTCATAATCAACAGCTCCTGCCGGTAGTGCTGAGCGGCGTTCAGCACCGCTGATATCATTGGTGCCATAAACATAGCTAAGGCGTATACATAGCCCCTCCAAATAGGTTCGCCGGTGTCTGTAGTGTTGGTCTGGGATGTGATGAATGTGATGAGTCGGTCGAGTACTAGGGGTTGAGTGAATGTTAATAATGTAACCATTAGTTTAATACACGCCGTGAACACCAGTGTTGGCCAAAATGTCTTAAGCAGAGGTAGAAATATATTTATCGCATGTTTGACACTGTTTTGTTGTATTGGTTTCCAGTGTTTATTGAATTGTTTGATGAAAACATTGATCCGATTCTGTGTGGACAGCGACCACATGTCTTCATTGGTCAATGGTTTCCGATAGCCATTCATAATCATTGGTGTAAACCATGAAAATGTGAGTCGAGATAAAAATGATGATTGATTTTCAGGACTAGAATTCTTTTATAAAATAAAATAAAAAAATTTTAATTGCATAAAAATATAATAGATTTAGTTTTCAGTACTTTTTCGTCGGCAACAGTAGTGAAGACTTGTGTTGAGTCCGCAAAACATGAGAGCAATAATTGAGTGATAATTATTGGGAATGAAAGAAACTTTAAAATATTAAAACTTGATTCTATCGGTGCCTAAAAATTATTTAAATAATAAAATTATTTTTAAATATAATAAATTGTTTATAAATTAATTACATCATTGAATTCAACGGAAAGCATAGTTCTTATGTTAAATGCGGTTCCGATAGACAAACACAACCAGAATATGAATAAAACGCCCGAAGTATTCATTACTCGCTTCTTGTGATTAATTATCAAAACTATTGTAGAAATCTTTTAAATAAATTAAAATCATTTAATATATTAAACTAAATAAATATTTTAGACATTCTTACAAATGTTAATATCATTATTAAATGTGTGATAATTTCATCTGAATTTCTTATAGCACTTAAGAGTTGCCATAAACTCAACATTAATAGCACTCCTGATGAACACTAAAACAATTGAAATATAATTAATTATTATATTTTTAATTAAATAAAATAAAAATACAATTTTAGTGATGGAGAGTAGAGTCCATGTCGTGGGATGTGATAAACCCCTGGATGTGATCACTTCTGGCGACTGATTGTGCCATTCATACAGTGATGTGACAAATAATAGGAGGGATGGCATCCATACGAGTGCTGTCTCTTCAATACTGAGACCAAACTCGGGAAATAAGTCCGTAATCCAGGTTTGGCTCAAATCCTGTAAAATAAAAACTTATAATAAATGAAATAACTTTTTTAAAATAAAACTAACCCAAAAGTTTTGGTGCAATAACTTTGCGCTCATTATCACAATAATGTTAAAATTTATTTCACAAATATTTTATAAATAATATAATCAATGAATTCAATGAATATAGTATTTATATTTCATTATTTATATTCATACTAATATTAAAATAAATTATATATCAAATTATTTAATTCAAATACTGTACAAATTTATATAAATACTGTCAATAAGTTATAAAATTTCATTTTTCAATTGTAACGTTTGCTAATCGTATAGCAATTAATTGAAATAATTTATTTATTTAGTTGATAACTAGAGTCGATTCACCATAATCAATCAAAACAATTTTACACCTTATGCGTGTTTACGTTCATAATATAACGTAACATGCACATTACAGTTATTTAACAGATAAGTTTAGTGTTACATTAATGGTGTAACATGTACAAGTTATATAAAGTACATGTTAATTATATTATGTTAGTTTAAACATAATTACTGAAAATATTTGTAACAGTGATATAAAACAACTTTACTGAATTGAATACCTGAACTAATACTGAATTGTATTATGACCTTGGTTAATGTGTTTACAAACAACACAATCGATTACTACAACAATATCTGTATTAATACTATAGTTACAAAAATATGGTAAAATTAGCGCTCAATTTAAAATGTATTAACAAATTGTAGAACTATTTTGAAGTAAAATATAAATGAAATAAAAGTTTTTATAATAATTATAAAATTATTTTATTTAATGTCACAAAACTTTGTAATTAATTAGTTTTATATAATGACGTTTTTGCAGACGTAATGTCTGAACAAAAAGTTGTATTTATTATTACATGTGATCTCTGTTTACAAGTTTTTGTGAATGAATTTGTTGTTCAAAACGTGGGATCAATTAGTGGTGACTCTTAAGCCGACGTTGAATGACTGCATCCATGGATCACGTGTTGAGACAACGAGAAGACAATACGAGATAATAGAGAGAAGACAAGGGCTGAAGAAGTGGTCGACGCTATCATTAATAATGCATTTGATTTTTATTCACTATTTTTTAATTACAAACTTTTACGACTAGTTTTGGTTTAATTATTTAATGAATAAATGTTTGAAACAAATTTTATCACATTTTTTTAATCAATAAAATATTTGTATTTTTAGACGAGTTTTTCCTGTTTAGCCATTGAGTAGAAGATGGATGTGTTGTCCGCTAAGAGCTGTTCCGGTGTTCCCGACTCTGCGATCGATCCGTTGTTTAAAACTATAACTAAATTGTAATCAATAATAGTAT